GTATGAGTACCTCAAAGCTGGAAATGTCAAGGTTATAGCAAGATCAGAAGTGGCGTCATTGGGCAAAAGTGTTTTTGGGCTGCTATCAATATGTACAGGGAAAACGAAATGTGGACGGACACATATCGTCTGGCAAAAAGCGAAGATGGCGAGCAAGAACAGAAACGGGTAATATACGTCAAACGAGAGAATTTGTAAGCAAGGTTCGAACTTTAGGTAATATTTGTATGGGCGAAAGGTCTGGCTGGAGAGGCTGCGGTGAAGTTGCTCAACAAGCACGGGTTACTTGACGAAGCTATAGACCACTTTACTGAGATTGGGTACGCAATTTGAATTATGGATAATATGAATTCCGAACCAACTTTTTATAGGACGTTCGATTTTGCATTTGATTTAGCAAGACTAGGTGTAAAGAAAAGACTTCCTCAGGTGAGTTTTTTGAGTAACGCATTCATGATAAATGATATGATTAGTTTGGTGGATAATAACGGTAGCCGTTTAAAACGCTAAAATTGGACACAATTATCACGCATTCTTCAGTGCATGGCTTATCTCCAACGCATCTCAAACTTTAGTAACTAAACCTAATAATTACTAACTACTAATGATACTAATCACTGATCTCGATTTACTAATAATATAACAACAATGCAAACTTCGCAAAATATGTAAAAAAATATATGATCCAAAAATAACAAGTAGTTAAAGGATGCCCTCTGCAGTCTTCAATACCCTCTGCGGGCGCCGAACGCCAAATATTACTTCATAGTCGAAGAGGCAGTTGTATGCGTGCGAGCTACAACTGCCTCTTCGACAACAATCACTGCGCTACAGTAACTTGGGTGGACCAGCCGTTTACCAAGTCAGCGCTTTTATCCTCTCAGGTTGCTTTGGTACCAATCTACAGGCCTCGGAGGGTAGAGGGCTAGATTGGCCCATGGACGGGGATCGAACCTGTGTCGATCTGCTCACAGCAGCGCCTCGTGCCACTACGCTACTCGTCCGCACAACAAGAATAACACTTTATATATGAATTGGGAGTGCATGGTAAATATAGGCTGTGTCAAAACTCCACATATGAGATGCGAAGATACTACGCATAAGTATTACTATCTCTACCAAATAACGCGATGCCATCTTGTTCGACTCGGATCCGTGGTACTTGGTCACTTATCTCAGAAAACTATCTTGAAAAAATACAAGATGGC